GCATAATCTGGTAGTCCTCTGGTAGATCAGTTGTAATTAGTATGAAGTTCATAAACTGAAGATGGCTGATGGGTTGGCCTTGAAATAGAGGTAGTTGATGTATCAGCTATCAATGGCACTGGAAACCGTGGGTTGCTCCCTTGTTGAAGTTTATAAAAACGAGCTTCATTGGCAGATATATTGTGATATCTATTAGGAAAAGTAGAAGGATCCACCATCAGTCCAAAATAATTACTCTGTGTGGTAGACAAGATGCTGTACAGAGAATTAGAAGTTGTAGTTGTAATGAATTTCACAACACGGCCATTTGTTTCAGTGTAGCTGCTTTGAGAGTGCCCGTGAAGAGTCGTCAACTGATTTAATATAGCACGTTGATCCACTGCAATTTGTTCTGGTGGTATAACTGACATTGATGATGGAGGAGAAATATCACCTCTGATCAGAGTATTTCTGTCACTAATTATGTGGCTAGTAGAGGGCTTTCTTATAAGTGGCATGTTTAAATTTGCAGAAGGTAAAAATGCACTTTCCCCACTAGTGTCAGACACAAAACCAGAATTATGTTTATCCACATTTCGCCCTGCTTTAAAGTGCTTCTTTTTGAAATCTTCATCCAATGAAGATACCAGAGAGGCATTTTTAATCCCAACTCTTCTTTTTATTCTCACTGAAATCTGGGGACAGCCTCGTTTAATATTTGGATTATGATAGAACTGCATCTACAACCATAGGAGGTATATTTTAGTAATATTTTAAACCAAACTACAACTATACAATAAGCCTTACCTATAAAATCTCAGATTTCATGTTTTCAGTTCAAAGATAATAACATCAAAATATGAACATTACTAACGATAATTTGAAGTTCCTTATTTGGAAAATACAAATTTGAATAGATTAGTCATCAAATTTATGAAGTTAGCATTTTCAGTAACAGTGAATGCCACTTCTCAAAAGCAGATTTAATACCTTTATTTAGATTTATGTTAAGATTCATATTTACAATCAAAGTTTCTCATAAACTTGAATACTTAAGGCCCTGTCCTCATTTTTTAGAAATAATAAGGAATTTATCCTTAGTAGTTTAATACAATTTTCAAAATCTAGTTTTGCATTTATATTACCATAAATTGATGTACAAAATAAAATTTTATATATAAGTTACCAAGTGGTAACTAAAATTTCTAAATACCTTGCTTAAAACAGAGACTTATATTTTTTCTGCCAGATATTCTGCTAGAGAAAGAGATCTTTGAAAATTCTTCCACAATTTACTAATCCCATAAAGAGTAAGCACTGTAACTAAAC